CGTATATAGACCATATATGTATAGTCATAATTTAAATATTATACCTGTCCCTTGGTGGATGATAGGAAAACCTTCCCCTTTCCTCAACTACTCTCCAATAAGCCCCTAAAGGTTTAGCGGTCGAAAGCACTCCCTTCCTGACTCGGAGCACTCTGCCATTTCCTATTGATTGCTTGGATTTGAAATGACCGCTTGTTCTTGCGTGTCTTAATTTCACGGAGCTCCTGTCTTCTAACTGCGATACGGAGATGAGAATGGGACGAGGGAAGCTGTCTCGAGTGCTTGAAAACTTGTACCGCAGAGGTTTAACGAACAGCGATAGCCTGTTAATTTTTAAAAGTACCGTTGAACATTGGGAGTAATTATAAAATACCATCTGCTGTGCTGTGGATTAGCTGACGCGTATGGGCTTGTTTCTCTTCGTGTTTTTTTTTCCCCCTCCCAGGTTCCCCGTACGATTTCATCTCTCTCGAATGGCTGCAGAAATGGCTGGATGAGTCTACCCCTCCAAAACCTATAGATAACACAGCCTGCCTCTGCTCACACGGCAAACTCCATCCCGACAAAATATCCATTATGAAGAGGATATCTGAGTACGTGGCTGACTTCTTCTACAGGCAATACGGAGGAGGGCCTCGGCTGAATGGTAAGGCGTCAGGCTAGAAAATGCCTTCCCCAAGTCATGTTCTCGTGTGCTGAACGTCTTTTAGAGCCTTGTTCTGGTCCCAGCCCCATTTTGAGCCATCCTTTATCATCATAACTTTCTGCACATGGCTTTTGTGCTGTGCTGTTAGTTCCAGGTAATTTTTTTTTAATATTGCTTAATTACATTAGCATTCCAACAAATACAGTTAGTCTGATTGCAGGGTCTCCTTCAGACCGGAGTTCTGCTCTGTCTAGGAAGTGTGGCGGAATTTCTGAGAAAGCAATGGAGCATCTAGGTTAGAAAACGTAGTACCTGGATGGTTTTATGAAGTTGATTCTAGAAAATAACAAAACTTGCACATGCAACCTTCTTGAAAATGATTTTTCCGTGCCTGCAGCACCTACAGCTCCTGCGTAGGCAGTGTTTCGTGGAGTGTGTGGATCTGTGCTGCCTCTTGCCAGCAGCCCGCGCTCCGGAGCAGCGCAGATGTGTGCAGGCCAGGAAAAATCATTCACTGTCTCTCACCTCTAGCCTGTCCCGCACTACCTCATCCGAGGGAAGCACGTACCTGTTAGCTTCTGTGCTTGTGTTGCACACATGGGTCATGTGTTTTGATTTTTGGGGTCAGCCCAGCCCCTACAGTCTTTGGGCATCCCTGAATCAAGCCCCAAGCTTAGTTTCTTTTATAAAGGAGCTCAATAACTCCCACTGAGACCAAATTAGCTCAGCTCCTGCTAGGACCTGCTAGCTTCCTGCTAGGGAAGTAACGCAACCAGCAGAAACTGCTGTGACGCAGGCAGCCTTTGTGGAAAAAAAAAAACCAAAACAACCAAAACAGGCCAACGTTTATTAGTCAACTGGAAGATTGCCCGCAGGTATTTTCATTGAGTACGGCTGGGAGGGATGGATCGGATGCGTTGTGTTCTCCTGATTTTGCTTCCCTGGGTGCCACCCTCTTGCTCCCAGGTGAAAATGCACGCCCAGCTTTAGGGTTTTTGCTCCTGTTGGTCCAGTGTAGCTTTGCAGGAGGGTTTTGTTTTTTTTTTTCTGGGTTTAGCTTGCAAAGTGCCACAACAGGGTGGTTGTTTTTTTTTTTCTTGCATATGCCTAAACTGTCCTGCCTTTTGACTCCGGTGTCTGTGCGTTGGTTTGACCTGGCTTGCAGCTGTAGTTGTAAACTGTTGATATCAGCAGCGGAGAGCTGTGACCAAGTGAAACGCATTGCACCTCATCTGAAGTGTTTTACGCTTATTTAAGCTTCAAACGCGGCCTGATCTGGCAGTAACCCCAGGGATCGCCTCATTTACATGTAAAATCTCCGGTCAGGAGTCAGGATAGTTGGTACATACGTGTCTGAGCGCGTTCAAACCAGCGAGAAGCTCAGCCATGTGTGCAATAAATTGTGTTTCTTCTTTTTCTTCCCCACCCTACCCCAGTCAAAGCACTTTGCAAGGACTGCGTGGTAGAAAGGTGTCGAATCCTGCGACTGAAAAACCAGTTAAATGAAGACTACAAAACCGTTACGAACTTGCTGAAGATAACAGTCAAGGGGTACGTAAGTCCTGACGCTTCCAAACATTGTCAGAAGTGCTTAAGTCACTTTTTCCTAAAGATTTTACTGTCTGGGCTCCAAAGGAGGATGGAGTTGTGATTTGCGTTGCCAACGCTGTTCTCCCCCCTGCAGGAACGACGGGTTTTGGGTTGGAAAGGCGTCCTTGCGGAGCTGGCGTCAGTTGGCTCTGGAGCAATTAAATGAGCAAGATGAAGACGCAGAGCACAGTAATGGAAAAATGAATGGGAATGCACAAAACAAAGGTAGTTCTGCTGCTGTAGAGACACCCCCCCCAGCTCTGACTGATACCTCCAAACAAAAGATGTTCCCGTAGCTGTTTTGCTTCCCTTGCATGATTAGGGAGGGGAGGATAATAAATCAAATAAAAAGCTCCTTCGTTTAAGGAGCTTTTTATTTGCTAAGCTTCAGAACTGCTGGGTGATCTTCATACCCAGAGAGGAAGATGAGGTAATAAGTAGTTTTACAAAGCCGTGTAAAATTACCGCCCCAGACACATGATCTTTTCATCCACTTTTATCTGAATGAGAGAGCATAGGGGAGGAAGAAAACATGAAAATTACCCTGGGGAAGGGATGAAGATGTTTATTGCTAAGGTCTGTGGATGTAATAGCGCAGCTGGTAAAGTAGCTCTGGCAAAACACAGCCTAGGACAAAAAAAAAATCATGAATTAAACTCTTCTGTGCCCGTATCGTGAGTCTGTGAGAATAGATGGGGTTTTTTTTTATTTGCCTTCTGCTCTTGAAACCTTTGGAAACTGGATATTTTGTTGAGCTGGGAACTGAGGGCAAAGCAGCTTGCTTGAATGAAAGGGGAGATGATCAGCTAATGGCATTGATCCTGGCAGAGGCTCGGAGAGCACCAGATACTGCAGCCCTCCTGATAGCATCTGTGAGCTGCCGCAGCCGGTGGAGCATTTGCTGTGGGAAGGGTACAGCTCTGCTGAGGTACCGCTCCCAAGTTGTTCCCTGGTGGTGGCTTCGGTTCCACCACAGGTTGCAACTCCCAGTAGTACACTGGAATTCCTCACAAGCCCAATGTGCTCGTTAGGCAGGTCATTAGCAACTCTTACTAACACGTTACTGTGTTTATGATGCTCCAGTTCAGCTGCCAGCGCGCTTCTGTCTGTGGTGCTACGGTTCTTAACTGTAATTTATACGTTAACGTGAGGCTTGTCAAACCCCTGGCAGGCTCCCCCTTAGTTTGTCAGGCAGCATCTGGTTTAGATCAGTACCCTCGAGGCAAAGAGTGCACTAATATTTTGCCAGGAAGGTTTCTGCTCCCTGCGCTCTTACCTAGGCTTGTGTTTAGGTTAAACTCCGTGATCTTTGGGAGCAGTGAACCCCTGTGGTGTTTTAGCTTTAACAAATGCATCCTTTGTAATCTCACAAAGGACGGGCTTGTGCTCCACACACTTCAAAGCACTCCTACGTGGCTTGTAGGCTGTAATCCCGCCTGCCCAGAGGCCAAGACATTTGAGAATAACAAATTTCCTTCCAAAGTTGCCCTTGGGGTAAGGGTTTTGCTGCAATTTGAAAGGCAACCCCGCTCCTTTCCCACAAAGATTTTTCCTTTCCTTGGGAGGGGAACTCTGTGCAATCTCTGTGTATTTTATTTTTTTAATTAGATGAATCAAATGAAGAGAAGAGAGAGGAGGAAGAGGAGTTAAATTTTAATGAAGACATCGTTTGCCCACATGGTAAGTCTCTGCGGGGGATGGAGCTGAATAAGTCTGTGTTGCCCACTGCCCGAGACATTAACCTTGCAGCCTTTGCTCCATCCAAGGCCAGCGCGAGTCGTTACCGAGGAAATGCGCTTAATTCTCATTTGCCTGGTGCTTCTTGAGGCTCCAGCTTTGACCTTTTATTCGCCAGCGCTAGCACGTTACAGCCCAACTTTTGTAAGGCGGCAAAGGGGGTGTGAGCGCAGAGATGCTTGGCTGCTGCAGGACACGCCGGGCTGTGGAAGTGAGCAGCAATGCCTCTCGCTAACAAAGCGAGGTGATGAAGCGGAGGGCAGCACCCAGGATCTGCAGCTGCTTGGAAGCACTGAAAGTATTAGGAGCAAAATGGGTGGTGTAAATCCCTTCATTCCCTCTGTTTATATGAGAACAGGAGCGCTTACCTAACAACTGTAGAAACCTGGGCTTATTTGCCAGTGCCTGGGCCCGCTTAGGATATTGATTTACCAACCTGCTGGGCTTTGGTGTCCGTTTACATAAGGTTTTGACCTGGTGTTAGTTGTTTTGCTAAGTGATGGCTCATTAGCTATAGCCTTGGTTACCCTGTTGTTTCAATCTCACTGGTTTTTTTTTTTTTGGTTTTTTTTTTTTTAGCTTGTATGTTGCTCCCAGACCTAACACTGTTCTAGTAAGCTCCTCATGTCTGTAGGCATCAATTTCCCTGCCGGGGGATGCTCGATCTTGTTCCAAGAAACGTGCCATAAATTAGCAACACACCTCCTGTCATCAAGGCTAATCAAGGATGTAGAGCAATGGCTTGGTAAAGCCTCATTTTAAAGCAGAGTGTTTAAGCACTTTGTCACGGCGTTAGCTTTTTTTTTCAGAGCCTTTAAGGCCATATTTCCCCTTGCCGCGAGGCTGCAGCTGTTAAATAAAAGCATGCAGCGTGGTGATGAAACATTTAATGTAGCCAGACGTGATAAAAATAGGCCAATAGGCCTTTGAAAGTATTACACTGGTAAATCGCGAGTTGATCTGTGACTTTGGGTCATATCAGACTAAATGATATTAAATACGGAGGCCGCTGGCAGGTCACATTTTGTCGTCTTGAGCTAACCTCCCATTACTCTTGGAAAACAACCTTTTCACCTTTAAAATTTCCCTCTGGAGTGTGTCAGGAAATCTGTAGTCTCGCTCCTACAGCCTTAATTTTGCCGTGAAGGAAGTTCCTGCCTTCGTGGTAGGCACTGGCAAAGGCAGCGCTTTATCTGTGAGGTCTGGCCGCCCTCCAGAAATGCCATCCGGGCGTTCCCTTTGCATCTTTGCTGCAATTTCTCGCTCTCCAGTAGCTGCCCGACCCCAGCGAATAATTTTTTCCAGATACCAAGTTAAGACTTCTTTGATGTCCATGCCTAAAACATGTCCCTGGATGGTGGGAGGGGGAAGCGGGGTCAGCAGCAGTTGGGATCAGCTTCTTCCAGATGGCAAAGCACTTGTGCCCCGCACACCCAGATCTAATTTTTTTTCCACCTCTTTTGCTCAACAGCGCATTAATCTGTTTTCATTAATCATGCGGTGTCAGGGCCCTTATTTGTACAAGCTTGGTTTCTTTCCTCATCCTCGCTGGCTCTGGAAAGCAGCCTGGTCCTGCCTCCTCATACGGTAAAGCGAGGCCGCTTGCTCGTGTTTGATGAAGAGCAAGTGGCCAAGTGCCGCATCGAAGCAGTCCAGCCCGACCTTTGTTTATCGGAGGAAAAGCAGGAGGGGAGCATTGCTATTTTTTCCCTTCGGGGCTGGCAGAAATCCAGGCTTGGCTGGAGCGAGAAAAGCCAATGGGTCCATGGGACTGAGGAGCTGCTTATCATGTTAAAGAGCTACCGGAGGGCGGAGAGGAGGAGGAGGGAGCCTTTTCTCCTTGTCTTCCTTCTGTAGCTCTTCAGTCTAGAGAAAAGCAGATAACCAGGTATCGTGCCCTTTGCTGGACACCGCTCAGCACTGTGACTTCGCAGTTGCTGTTTTGCTTCCCTTTTGCCGGTGAAATCCACATTGAGGCGCACATATTCCCATGCCACATCCAAATCCGGTTTGCATCTTGGTGTTGCAACAACTCTTCCTCTTTATTTCTCGTTGTGGCTGCGTGTAGCAGAGCCATGCCTTGACTTTCCAGCTGCTGTCTCATAGGGAGAGGCGGTTTTGTTTTCCCCTTGGCGATCATTGGGCCTGCAGGCGGGTGGCTGGTTGGATCCCCGAGCCCTTGCCTTCTCCAGTTTTTCCAAGCCTTGTTTGTCTGCCAGAGCACGTGTCGTCATGCATGCACAATGGTGTCCAAATGCGTGAGCATGACCTTTCTGCTGCTTCTGTCGCTAAAATGGCAAGCACTAGTACTTCATGCTAAACCCTTCTTGGGGGGTTTTTTGAGCTGCTTGAGCATCGGGATAAAAAAATACAGCAGGGAAGTTGCCTGGAGGATAGCTGGTAAACCTTGCTATGTGTCTTCACGCCCCAGCTATTCCCTAGAGCAGAGCTAGGGTGCAAAATCTGTCCTTTCCAGATTTTGAGGTGCTTGGATAGGGCATGTGAAGCTGTCTGCGAATATACACTGGTAGTTTTGTTTTCCAAGGGTGCAGAAAGCACCTGGCTCCTGTTTCACGGGGCAAGGGGTTAGCCTGCAGCTTGGTAAATGGAGTCACCGTAAAAATGGAGCTGTGGAGAGCCAAGATCAGAAGACTATAGCCCCATGCCCTCTTTGGCTTGTCCTTGCTTTTCCAAGCATCTCTTGACCTCTCCTTGTATTTGATCAGCTGCTTGGGTTCATGAGCTTTGAAATCTAAAGGACGTTTTTATGAATTAAAATTGTACTATTTTTTTTTTTCCTGTCTAAACAGGGAAATGATAAAGAAGTCGAAGGTGACTTTGTGTATGGGTTGTGCTCTTTTTTTGCTGACACGGTGTTGGCTGATAAGCGCGTGAATGTCTTCCCCCACGTTTATACCCTGTAATCTCTTAAATCTCGTTAGGGCTTGCAAAATACCGCTCAGCGCATCAAGAGCAAAGCCTTTCTCTTGGCTCTCTCTCTGCAGGTGACCTGTGCATATCCGAAAACGAACGGAGAGTGGTTTCGAAGGAAGCCTGGGAGAAACTCAAGCAATATTTTCCAAAGGCCCCTGAATTCCCAAATAACAAGGAGTGCTGTTCCCAGTGCAAGGTATTTGCCAGATAACATTACCCTTGTGTTGACTGTAAATTCGTGGTCATATTTCTGGGTTTCTTTTTAGTACAATCCAGTGCAGCGGAGGAAAGTAATGTCACCTTTTATCAGCAGCTAGGAACTGAAGTTGTGGTCTATGATTAACTGTTTCCTGCAGATTTTGGAACGTGAAGGGGAGGAAAACGAAGCTCTACATAAGATGATGGCCAGCGAGCAGAAGACTTCTCTCCAGAACCTGTTTCATGATAAATGCAGACCTTGCCTAGGCAGCTGGCCTCAGGTACAGGAAGGAGTGCGAGGAGGGGAACGTAGTGGGGTTTGGGGCGAGGTTTTTATTAGCTCTTATCCCTCCGCTAAGAAAACTTATTTCACCTGTGAGAGAGATGCTTGCCTGATAATCGTCCACTCAGTCCGAGCGAGGCTGTGCCTGAGCTGGGAAGCCTGCGCCAGCAGAGCTTACATGTGTGTTGTGCCGAGGTGTGATTTCCCCTGATTAGCTGTGCTGGCGCAAAGCCCTGCTAAAGATACACGAGAATGGCTCGTGTGCCAACATAGCTGTGGCTGGCCCACAGTCAGCTAGATAAGCAGCGACAATATTGCTGCTGTGGTTTACACCCGCCCCTAGAAGGATCGAAATGATGCGGCCGTGCCGGTGGAGGCGGCTTTCCACCGCCCTCCATCTGCTTTCCCATGCAGGCCAGGCTTTTGCTGCTGGTCAGACATAATTTGTGTGTGCTCTGGCATCCTCCTGCATCCCAAGAACTTGGGGGGAGCTTCCCTAAATGCTGAAACCTCGCAAATAGGAATGGCGGTTGTGCAAGACCTCTTGTACCAGTTTCTCCCCGGTACAAGCGTGCAGCTCTCCAGGACTTTCTTGGGGCTTTGAGGCAGCTGAAAAGAAATGGCACAAGCTGCTGGCTCCACGCCTTCGCTCCTGGATGTCTCGCAGCGCTGATTAATGATTGACTCTTAGATCCTGCCAAGCTGCTTTGGCAGGTATCTGCCTCGGTCACTCTGGCATGTGAGGGCAGCCTGCCGCTCTCGGGTGCCTTCTCCAGCCCTGAATAAGTACTCAGGTCAATGCAGATCCACGTCTTGGAACTGGGGAGCCCCAAAAGGGGTTTAACACCAGTTGTGTTTAAAGGTAGTATCTGGCTGAGTCCGCTTTTGTAGCTGGAGCAGGTGATGGAAAGCCAGAGCCCATCACCATGGGTCAGCTCAAAATACGAGGGTCTCTCCAGGCAGCGAGGCTACGTCCTCCACTCTCTTTGAATTTCCCAAGGGAGCATGACAAAAAGGAGCTGAGGATCTCTCCCTCCAGCTTTGTGAGTTTTCCTGATCCGAAACAGTTGAGGTTTGGGGGAGAAAATAGGCGGAGTGGTTTCATCTAGAGGAGATGGAGGGAGATTTTTTTTTACCATACATATATTCCTCAGGTGTGCAGAATTTTCCTGCAGAAAGATGGAGTGAGCCCTGAAATCTGCGTTAGGGTGGTGAGGATAGGTGAGCAGCAGAAATGATTTTGTCACACAGCTCTTAGGTTTGAGGTGGTTTCTTGTCCAGGAGCAGACTTATTGAATGGCAGATCAGTTGGGGCAGGAAAACAGTGCTTTTATCCTAAAACCGCTGCCTGGTGAGGGTGCAGGGCTGTGGTTTTGAATCCGAGCTGCTGCCAAAAGGAGAAATTTGTGGATTTTGATGGGTGAAGCCAATGAGGCAGCTTGGGGTCCTCTCACCCCGCATCCTTGGGGGTGCAGAGATGCATCTGCTTTAGACCCCGAGCACCCAGCGAGGGAGAACACTGTGCTGGGGAGTCTTAGCTGCTCCAGGGGAAATGACCGTTTCCTGCTGTGAATTAAAGGTAATTGCATCTAAAAGCTAAATTAACTTTGTAATAAACACGAGATTAGTGATGCAAGTGCTTAGTGCTTGCTCCCAGATTATTTTACTTGGCTTTCCCAGCACGCTTGGATGGAGTTGTCATGGTAAAAACACCGAGGTCTCGAAGAGAATAAGCGCTGCAGAAAAAGCTGAACAGTCATCGCTTCCCTATTGTTATATTAATTAAAAAAGATCTTTTTCTCCCCCCCCCCACCCCTTTTCACCTCCAGGAGACAGATGAGCTGTATATTGTTTCACAGTTCTTTGTAGAAGAATGGAGGAAATTTGTCAGGTAACTTGGCTTGAGGGTTTTGGTGCTTTTTATTCCTTTGGGGGGGGCTGTAGGGAACGATTAGACTTTTGAATCCCGGTGCCGTGTGTAGTTCCCCGCTGATTGCCTTTGTGGAAACAAGGAAGCTGATTTTTGCAGGGCTCATATCGCTCGTAATACGTTGTAAGAAACTGAATTTTCCTTGTTTACTGTGTCTTAACCAGATGGTCGGATTAGATAGTGGTAACCTGCTTAGTTTTTTCATCTGTCTGGAGCTGTATCCTCTAGGCAAAGGTCACCGCTCAATCCTGTTTCCCCTGGCTGCTGGTGGTGGGAGATGGAAATCTCCGCTAGATAGGAGAGTAATTCTGCCACACGCAGGAACACAGATCTGATTTCCTCGTCAGCAGTAGTTTAATGTTCCCTCTTGGAATGCCTTCTGTAAATAGTCACCTGTGATTTCTTCTTGGCTGCCTGCAGAGTTGTGGTTTCAGTGAAACAACCTGACCAAGCTTTGCAAACTGCTTTCCTTTGCCCCCACAGGAGGCCGACGCGATGCAGCCCCGTGTCCTCAGTAGGAAACAGTGCTCTTCTCTGCCCCCACGGGGGCCTCATGTTCACCTACGCTTCCATGACCAAAGAAGACTCCAAACTGTGAGTTTCTTCTCTTCACACGTCTGCCCCTGCCAGGTGCCTTTGGCTCTCGTGAGCCTCAGAGAATCTCCCCGGAGGCTTGCTGAGCTGCAGCAACACAAGGAGCAAACGCTTTCCCTTGAACAAAATTAACAGTTGCTTTTTCAAGCCCACCTTAGCCTTCACGCAAGGCAAGACCTAAATTGTCAAAGGATGCTGGGTCAGGGAAAAAAGAAAGCGAGCTTACTTCAGCTTGGCTAGTTCCTAACAATAAAGCACCCTGAATTTGACTGGGGCATAGAAACATCTGACTTCCTTATTATTTGCTTTCTGTGAGACTTGCCCCTGGAGCGCTGGACATTCATGCTCCATAGCATTGCTTCTGCAACTAAAAGCAGCAGATCTTCCACTCCTTTCCTCCTCCGTCCTCCCTCCGGCATGGCTGGAGCATAACAGCGTCACTAATAACACGCTACTGTTTCCCTGTTAGCTTGGGCGTTCGGGCCCTCCCGCACAGCTGGAGTTACTGACTGATTTCGCAGCTTTTCTTTTTATTAACAGACTTAAAAAAAAAAAAAGGGGGAGGCTGTTCGGGAGCTGGGGGCTTGGCTTTTCCTTGTCACAAAGCACGTTCTTGTTCCTTTGCACAGTATAGCTCTAATATGGCCCAGCGAGTGGGAGAGGATTCAAAAACTCTTCGTTGTGGATCACGTCATCAAAATCACCCGAACGCAAGCTGCCGGGGCAGACCCTGAGAGTGCACTTTACACCTCTGAGCCCCGTGAGTGAATCTTTTGCTGCTGCCTTGCTCTTACTCTTTTGTAAATTGATGCCAACTCCCTGGGAAATGGCTCTTTCGGGTAAAGGGTTGGATCTGAGGGGATAGAGAAGGAGCTTGGCAGATGCTCCTGGTTATGTGAGCCGCTCCAGGTTCCTGGAGAGTGGCATTGGGCAGGTGTCTCCAGGGAGCTGAAGGAATTAAATGCATTTTTCCTTTGTGCCTCCCCAGAACTCTGTCCAGAGTGCAGAGAGGGGCTGTTGTGCCAACAGCAGCGGGACTTGCGTGAGTACACCCAAGCAACCATCTACATCCATAAAGTGGTGGATAATAAAAAGGTACGGGCTCTCTCCCATGGTCCTTGCTCATCCTGGCTCTGTTTCATGTAACAGAAACTGCACTGAGTACCCAAATGAGGATCCGAACATGGCGGTGAGGTGGCTATCACAGCCCGCCACGTCCCCGCAGGGTTGGGACCTGCTGGTGAAGGTGCTGGGTGGCCGGTGGTGGTGGTGGGCAGGGCTGCTCTCTGCAGGCAAAAACCACCCAGCTCCACAGCTTGTGGAAGCTGTCACTTTGGCAAAAATAGCAAATGGGAAAATTCTGGCTGTAGCTGCTCTGAAAATTTGGTCTCCTCGAGGCTTCCTTTTGCCAAACTGAATCCTTTGCGTTACTGGGTATCTCAAGGATGTTCCCAGTTTTGATTATTTTAGGCAATGTTGTAACAGTTTCTGCCTTCATGATCGTGTTACCAGGCTCTACCTGTTCTCCTCCCCCTCCAATATTTGTCATTTCCTTTCTTGGTTGCTCGAGTCATGTGGATTCCTAGATGGGAATAAGCTCCTCAATCTCCCTGCTGACAAAAGAACAGTGAACTTAGGGATGTTTCTCACGCTCCCCAGTGAAGCTGTGAATTATGTCTCTGCTCTACCGCTGTCTTAAGGGATCAGTATCAGGTCTAGAATTGGCTTTACAGGCACCCGAAAGCTGGTTACAGCAAGTCCCTCCTCCTTAGGGCTTCTTTTATGCTTTAAGGGGGAAACCAAGGCTCATGGGCAAGCTCAGATAAAGATGTTCCCCACACCTTGGCAGCGTGGGGTTTGGGTTTTGGGGTGGTTTGGGTTTTTTCGCTTCTCATTGATTTCCACCTCCCTGCCAATCTAAGGGAGGAGCTGGAGCCCGGAGAACTGCAGAGCACCAGAGATGCAGAGCGTGCAGCCTTGTCTCAAGCCGTCGGCTGCAGGTTTTCAGCCTGACTGGAGGCTGAATCCTGAGGCTGTATCTTGGCTCTGGTGCAGAGGAGGGTTGGGTTTTGGGTTGGTTTTGTTGGGTTATTTTTCTGGTGCTGGACAGGAACCGTGCTCGCACGTGGGGCTGGCAACAAACAAGCAGCTATTCTTTGCCGAGCAGCTGGAGCTGGAGAGAGGGGGCGAGAGCTTGCCTGCGAGATCCCTCGTTAGCAGGGCAGCCTCGGTGAGATGTGAAGCAGTGGTAATGCCTGCCGGCAGCACTGCCAGCGAGGGTTGCAGACGGCAGCACTCGAAGCCACTGCTTCCTTCCCTGCCGGTTTTGATTTGCAAAGCTGGGGAGTGTTTCCCATCCCCTCGCCTCTGCTCTTCCCCCCCCCCCTCTGCAGCCTTCTTTGGCTGACGCTGCAAGAGGGAAGCCACGGCCGTATAAGATCAGCATAGGGCAGCACTGCTGGAATCCGGAGGGCTCTGGGGAGGCTGCGGTTGGTGCTGGATGTTTGGGAGCTGGGATTGCATCGTTAATTGCAAATACATTGACAGAGAAGTGAGCTGTCGGGCATCCAGGATGGAGAGTGCGCCAGTCTCCTGGGCTCCTGCAAGCTCCATCTCCAGCTGGAGCATGGATGTGAATTCACGTCCAGCAGACCCATGCCTCCTGCAGTGACTTACACAGAACTGAACTTCCTTTTTATTTATACGCTTGTGTAAATTATTTAGGTTTCATTTACTTACAACCTCCAGACCCATAAATAATGGTGCCGAGTGCCTCTGTTGGTCTGCTGCAGGGATGGATAAGTGTCTAATTTACAGATAATATTACTTTCTCTGTGTTAGGGCTTTCATAATACACTTAGATGAACCAGAGAAGCAGCCAGCTAATGGGAAAGAAATCAGTCCAGGCCCCTAGAGACTTTCCCTTTGCCTGGAGAGGAGGGTAGGTCCTGAGCTGCAGGAAGCACCTGCAGCTCAGCAGAGGAGCTTGTTCTCCCAAGTAGAATCCCCCCACAGTTCAATGCAGCTGGGGAGGGGTAGAGAAGATTTTGCAGAGCACGCAGAGCAGATCCCTGGGTTATTCCTGCTCTGCTTTGGTTTGTTGGATCAAGGTGACGCCCTGGAGGTCTCTGCTCTCGGATTAGTTACGGAGAATGGTTTTTGTAACTTCAGGTAATGAAGGACGCTGCTCCAGAGCTGAACGTGAGCAGCTCAGAAGCTGAAGAGGACAGGGAGGAAAGCAAGCCAGAGGGGGAGCAAGACCCAGATTTTAACCAGGTAGAGATCAAAAATCCCGCCAGGTTCCTTGGTGTTTGCATCATCCTCTTGAGTCAGCATGGTGGGGTACCCGCCCTCCTCTGTTTACCGCTAGCAGGCGAAAACAAGAGCGTCCTAAAATTGTCACTTTCATGGTCGTACCACACCATCACTCGTTTGGAGAGATCAAACAGTGATGGTGATGCGTGCGCATGGCCGGTCATCCGCCCCGCGTTGGCCTTGGGAGCAGGAACTGAGGTTTTGAGGCAAATCCTTTGCTCCTCTTGATAACTTGCATGCGGCGGTTTGCTTCCGAAGGGGCTTTTCAATGCTTCGTGCCTTCCCTCGCATGACTGACTTGCCCGAAGTGCAGCCTGGGGTACGGGGAGGTTGGCTCTTCCACCCATCCCAAATTTGGGCTCCTGATTTTTTTTTTTTTTTTTTTTTTTTTTTTTGCCTCTTGTTTCTAGACCAATGGAGGTGCGAAGCGCCAGAAGATCTCGCACCAGAGCTACATTGCTTACCAAAAACAAGGCATCAGGCGAAGCACCCGACACCGGAAAGTCAGAGGGGAGAAAGCGCTGCTTGTTTCTGCTAATCAGACACTGAAAGAGCTGAAAATACAGGTGAGGTTGTTTTCCTCCGAGGCATCAAGTCATCTCGAGTAAGAAAACAAAATTCACAGCGCATGGCTGGGAGGGGAAAGGGGGAAAAGAGCATAAAGCCCCACGTGGTGTCAAAAAGCGCAGGTTGCTATTGTACACGTGGTATTTTTGTGTAGCTCTGCGGTATGGTTTGGTGGGTTTTTTTCCCTCCCTCCGCACAAAAACAGCATGTCTCATTGTGTTGGCACAGATCATGCATGCATTTTCAGTTGCTCCCTTCGACCAGAATTTGTCCATCGATGGGAAGATACTGAGCGACGACACCGCAACGCTCGGCAGCCTGGGTGTCATCCCCGAGTCCGTCATTTTATTAAAGGTAATGCGTGCCTGTGGCCGCTAAAATAAAGGCAAATAAAGCAGAGCATCGACCTGAACGTTTTGCCCAACCAAAGAGGAACCCATCACAGTGGGTGTGAAACCTCTGTGTGCTACGTATGCCTGCCCATGGCTGCTCAGCAGCCTAGTTTAACGAGTTCCTCCCCGAGTTCCTGCTTGGAGGAGGAAAACCCCCTTTTTTTTTTTTTTTTTTTTTTTTTTTTAGGGCTTTTTCCACCTGGT